ATTATTTTTTTTTTCTTTTATAACAAGTTTTTTAGTTTTTTTTTGAATGGTCACAAAATATTAATAGACCTTTTTCTTTTTTTTTCCACTTTCTCTTTGGAAACATTTAGCTGCAAACAATACAAAGTAATATTATAAATAAATGTCAATCCTGCTGATATGTATCTAATTGGTTGGACTCGTTTTTTTTGGGTTCCGAATATGTAATTGTGACAAAAATTACAAAAAAACAACTATTGTGTGGTCGTTCTTAAAGGGAAATGGTACACAAAAGAGATCTTGTTTGCTCTGGGTGGGGAGGAGCAGGGTTCAATCCCTCGCCAAGTCTTAGGTGCGGTGTGGCAATCCAGCATGGAGAGCAGGAATGCGTCATGCGGATGGGAAGGAAAGTTACAATTTAAATGAGTTATATTATAATACTGCAATGACAGCACAACATGAAAGGGTATACATGACTAGACATGTGCATTCGGATTCAGACGAACCTGTTGATTCGGTGGTTCATCCGAATCCGAAATAACACATTTAATATATACTAAACGATATTCAGGCATACATTAATTAGCTATGACAATATATGGCCGCTGGCGTGTTCTGCGTATGCCAGCCGCCATCTTGGAGGCGGAGCGCGTGACGTCACATGTCGGTGACGTTACACGGTTAACGAGCGCCGCCGCCATCTTGGTGTATACCAAGATCTCCGAAATGCCGGTGTGCATGCGCAGAACGCGCCGGCGGCCGATACGGTCACAGCTCGTTCTGTGGTTTCATCCGGAGGCTCGTTGCCTCTGAATCAGAAACAACATAAAAATTTGTTTCCTTTGACGAAACGAATGAAAAATCGTTTTTTGGCTTCATTTGTTTCGTCTGAAAATGTTGTTTTGCACATGTCTATACATGCCTCTAATGTGGTTCTCTGATATAATAATACAATTATAGTAGCTGCAGGCATTGTGGAGAAATTAATCTTCACAATTCTCAGCAGAGGCACTGAAATCACAAACCTTCTCCACTATTTCCTCTGGCAGCAGGCGACTCAGCAGGCTGCCAGACCACTGGTGTAAACCCACTGAAAACCATTTTCAGAATCTCTGGTGTGATCTTTAAAGGATGAATTGCACCACAGTACCTGCAGCTACATTGGTCAGTGATGTCTTGTCTTAAATTGACACTAAACTTAGGAGTTAAATCTTAAAAATACATTCAAGTACCCTAACTATGTACAAAAATGTATCTTATTTGTGTATCACTCGGATGTAGATCCTCCAATCATCTCTGAATTGGTGCTGACACTGTCCTTCCTTCTGGAGGGGGGCAACTTTTGATCCCCAAGGTCCCTGTGTGTGTTGTAAAGTAGTCACTGCTCTAAGCTCGCTCCCGGGATGACAATCTCATGTTTCGTTTAATAATTTGTATTGAGATTGTAGTCCATCCCAGGAGGGAGTTTGGAACGGTGACTACTTTACAACACACACAGGGACCTTGGGGATCAAAAGTTGCCCCCCTCCAGAAGGAAGGACAGTGTCAGCACCAATTCAGAGATGATTGGAGGATCTCTGGCCGAGTGATACACAAATAAGATACATTATTGTTAATAGTTAAGGGACTTGAATATATTTGTAAGGTGAACCGTAAAATGGTTCTCTAGGGCTATTGGGTTGGGAGCTTTCCCTGCCAGGTTGTCAAACTGCATTTAAGAATCAGTGAGAGACTAAATTCCTTCCACTCCACCCATAGAGGAGAAATCTGTTTTGGGTGTTGCATCCCTTTAAGTGCAATAAGGCAAATTTGGCCACAATTTTACTGAGTTTGTCATTGTTTATTCCGACCTAGGAAGGCACTTGCATCAATGCCTTTCTTAAAGGAGAAGTATTAGGTGATTGCTTTTCACTTACCTCATAGTTCTAGCCGACCTGTGACAATGAGACTGTCACAGGTCGGCTCAGTAGATCGGGAGGCGAGCGAACACATAGCGGCGTTGGATTTCCCCCTCCCCGCTCCGCCAGCGCTGACTGGTGGATCGGACGGGGGAGGGGGCGGGTACAGCTGGCTCTGCCTCTAGATAGGCAGAGCCAGCTGTCAGTCACGCAGCTGGGCGGATCCCGGCACAATTGTTGGGATCCGCTTCAGCTGCGGGGTCTCAGTATATAGGGAGCTACAGCTCGCGGTATACTGAGCCTAGGGTGACGGGAGGACGCTGGTTTGTGTCCTCCCGTTACCCTAAGGAGAACTATGGGGAAAAGACTTAACCCCATAGTTCTCCTTTAAGCTGGCCATACACGGATAGACTTTTTGGCTACTTTCAAACCTCTCACCCTTCATTACCTTTTGTAAGACAATCGTGAAACCAAGAAAATACTCTCATTGGTCAGTTGTTGACCCGATTGTACTTTGTCTGTGATGGCCCCACGGCTAAAGCTATCCATTAATTGAGACGTGTCGGTTGACTTGTTCACTATAAAGCATGTACAACAGTATGACAAATTAAAATGTGTTGATGAATCTTTTGAAATTCAAACCATTTAAAGAAAGACCTCCCGACCTCCGTGTATGGCCCTTAGCCAATTAGACCTGAGATGTCTGTTTATCTTTATGCTACTTCTAAACCCCCCCCCCCCCCATGTACTTGGTGCCAAATATTGCACACCGATTGTCCAGCAAGTTTCATTAATGAGATGGATGGTTTAAAGGTTCCAAAGGTTGCCCTGGTAACTGCAACATGTCTAGGTAGTCAGTGAAGTGCTTTTTTAGTACTTCTTGGTATGAAGGTTGCTGTATATTTTAATATTATGCTTCAATCCCCAAAATCAGATCCTAATTTGGGAAATAAACACTAGGTCTCTAATGCTGGTGGTGCATGCTAACCATTGTGCATCCCACTCAGCTCCTAGCAAGCAGTGACGTTATTGTTTGCCTGGAGCTGGACGGGATGCCGACCGTCCAAGTCAGATCCTGGCAACCAGTGACATGACTGGTTACCAGGAGCTGGGTGGGAAGCCGGTCAGAGTGCCCAAGGTTGCCCAGGTTTTAGCAACTTGGGATGTTCTGGCCCGGAAGGGGCACAATGCAAACAGTGAGCAGAAGAGTGTCCATACCATGCTGCTCCCCCACCCCCCACATGACCCAACAGCCTCAGGCTACCTCATTAAAGGGCTGGCCCTGCACCTACCAGTATGTTTTTGGGTGAAAAACCAAACACCTTGGAGGGAACTGAACTGAGTACATCAGCGCTACAAGGCAAGAGAGCCAACACACCTTATATCTATGGGCACGGTAATGCTGCATAAAGTTACAGCAGGACAACCTTTCCACCATTTTTCCTAAATGTGCAGCATTATAGTAAGTTATATTTTTCATATAAAATATTTTTATGTACAATCATTTTTTTTAGCTCTTAAAACTATTTAAAATTAAATATTCACTCAATTATTATTCTGTACCGTTAACCGCCATCCATTGTTCTGACCCTGTGACACCAAAAAGTGACAAAGGAATAACGGTTTTGCCAAATCTGGAAAAGATTGGATCCCGCTCTCCATGAGTTTCCTTTAACTTTAAAGAGGACATTGCATTATGATGACTTCATAACACCAACCTTTAAGCACAACTTTTAAAATGGTACCCTAAGAGCTTTCTAAAAACAAAAATGCAGCTCTGGCTGCAAAACTCACCTCATTTTTGGCACTGTCCCTCACGGTAATTGCTTTTCACCATTAGATGTCCTCAGTCTTCAGGGTTGATTGAAACATCACGAGACTGAGGACATTCTGTGAGTGCAGGACATCATGGTACCACCCCCTGAGCAGTGTCCTACACTCAGGGCCGTCCCTTTAATGAGACAGCCTGCCTGAGGTGGTTGCCCCAGGCGGCATCTCATTGGGTCATGTGGGGGCATACCTGCTGACTCCTTTCTGGCCAGAGCATCCCAGGTTGCTAAGAGCTCCTGCCCAGCTCACTGATGCCACTGGTTGCCAGGAGCTGAGAGGGACGCTCTGGCTGGTATCATGTCCAGCTTCTGTCAACCAGTGATGTCAATGACCTGGGCAGGACTCTGTACACCGCAAACTGCCCCATCCCGCTCCCCCCAGAAAGAAGAAAGTCCACCATGAGCCGCTGGCAAACTCCCCCCCTCCCACACCAAGAGTAACTAACTCCCCTTGAATGTGCTTGACCAACACCCCCTACCTTCCTTCCCAGCCTCAGGCAGCGAGACGTCCTGCCTACACTATAACAGTCCTGACATGATTACATCAGTGCCGATCTCTGCACCACTGAAGACTGCCCATCACTGGAGAAGATGCATAGAGGAAGAAGACACTGCTTGTAACCTGCCTGAAGGTATCTGGAAAAGGTAACAACATAAAAAAAAGAGCATACAATAACACAAGCTTTAGCATCCAATAATCATATAGCAGAGTTGCTAGAACTAGTGTCTGGCCTAGCTATATCTTGAATTGTCTTGTGGTACAATGTATTCTGGAACTGCCAAATAAAAATAACTTCTGACTGACTTGAGCCCAGCCTTGGTGGAGAAATGCATACTGCTGGCATTATATATCACGGCCGCGCACCGAGCAGAGTGGAGCTTGGGATGGGCGGAGGGGGGCTGCACACAAAATACAAGCGATCGGGCGTCTCTACAGACTGCCCGATCGCTGGCTCTTAACATTTGAAGCAGATTTCCTGCTCATGCGCGCTGTCTAGCGGCGGGCACGAGCAGGGCGGGGAAGGACATCTAAAAACGCCCACCCACATCCAAGAAGCCACCGTCCGGCCGTTTAATTACAATGGCCGGACAGCAGGTGGTTAAATCGGCATATGATTTTAGCCAGGACTCCAATCAGCAGCATACAGTGGGGGGGGATAAGCTTTTCTCTCCATAATATGATTAGGGTTATTTTTTTAAAACACATTTCACTTCCTTTACACAACTAGGAAAGCAAAGCAAATCACAATGTTGGGAATTTTTTTTTTTGTTAGAATGTTTTTAGAATTTTTATGCAAGGTCCACGTTAAAACCATCTTCAGCGTTTTTCTTCATTGAGATGTGGTTTGAAATAGGAAATTCCTTCTAAAACACTCCGTCATCTTTACATATAGTTATGTAGCTCTTCCAACAAGGTGTCTCCAATGGTTGTGCTTACAAATACTGAATCCAACATCACGAACACTGGGCTTTTGTTCTGAGCATGCCCCCCCCCCGGGCTGTGAAAACTCCAGGGACAAAGGTAGGATATGTTCACTGACACGTCACAGTGAGAATCTAGGAAATGAAAGTCAAGAGGGCTCCAGAGTTCCGCCACGTTCAAACAGCCGCCGTTTGCTTTATGCTGTGAAAGCTGATCCGGGTGGGAGACGTTGGTATAGACATGGCGCGGGCCACGCGGACGCGGAGGGAGTGGTGATCCTGCCAACGGTGCCACCGCTTCCTGGCGGCCGATCGGACCTGTGGATGCAAACATGGCATCTTAATTGGTACTTTCATCAAGAAGAAACTAAGACATCTATTGACAAAAAGATACATAGATATTTCAGTCATCTATTCTATGGGATATTGTAACAAGGACACTCCACTGTAGTCCAGGTAAGTCAAGTATAATGCCGTTTATTAAAGGGCAAACACAAAAATAGCTTGCAAAGCAACATAAGACAGTCTTTTATATGGCTCAGTAGCTTTCCACAGCTCCAAGACACTCACGCTGCTCACCCCTCGTGAGCCCTCACTCTGCACCACAGGTCCTAGGGTCACCGACCTTCCTGACCTCTCCCCTCTTGGGCACTCGCTCTGCTCTCCCAGCAGTGCGTCTGACAGGTCCCTGGGGTCACCGACCTTCCTGACCTCTCCCCTCGTGGGCACTCGCTCTGCTCTCCCAGCAGTGCGTCCGACAGGTACCTGGGGTCACCGACCTTCCTGACCTCTCCCAGCCACCCCTGGCTGTTTCGTGTGCATCCAGCATGCACCCGAGTTTGTCTGTGTGCTCCCTGCACACACACAACTCCAACACTCCTGTGAGCACTGGGCTGGCTTCCTGATAAGGCTGCTCTCAGCCACCTGATTAGCCCAGGCTGGTCAATGGCAACACCTGGCCCCAGGACTGGAGATCTCATCCCACCCAGAGCTCTACGAAATCTCCAGAGCTCCAGATCCCCGCTACAATTAGGAAAACCTGGACGAACCTGAAAAGCCAGGCTCTTCCTTATACCATGTTTCACATTCTGGACCCTCTCAGCTCCTTTGGCTGAGAGTTCTGGGTGCCAAAGTCGCCATACTACACCGTGGCATCGGCTTACACTGCCACAATATATACATTGCAACAGTTTTGCCTTCTTATAAATCCTTTCTGTGCAATTCTGCCATTAAAGTGGAACTATGGGCGTAAAATGAAAATGACATACAGTACAGGTGAAACTCGAATAATTAGAATATCGTGCAAAAGTAATTGCAGTAAGTTCTGCAAAAGGGGCCCAAACCAAGTACTGAGTACATATGCATGCTTGTACTTTTCAGAGGTCCGAAATTGTTCTATGTACAATCCTTGTTTTATTGATTGCATGTAATATTCTACTTTTTTGAGGTTGTGGATTTGGGGTTTTCATGAGCTGTAAGCCATAATCATCACAATTATGACAAATCACGGCTTGAATTATCTTGCTTTGCACGTAATGAGTCTCTCTCATATATTAGTTTCACCTTTTAAGTTGCATTAGTGAAATAAATGAACTTTGCACGATATTCTAATTATTCGAGTTTCACCTGTATATGAAGCTGTCTGTCACTAGCATTAGCACAGCAGTTTTTGTTTGTCTGATTCCCTCGTAACATAGTTTTATGCCCCGTTTACCCTGCCAATAGACAGGCTGCATCTCACTGGGTCACAATTGGCGGCACAGGTGTGCCTGCCGTCTCCTTTCCTGCCAGAGCGTCCCACCCAGGTCGTGGCAACCAGTGATGTCACTGGTTTCCTGGAGCTGAGCAGGACGATCTAGCCGGAGTCCCACCAACCGCATGGCAACCAGTATCGTTAGTGACCTGGGTGGCACACCGGACACCACCCACCCTGTAATGTGCACCATTAGCACACCAGCCCCCACGCAACATGACCCAGCAGCACCAAGACACTGCAACCCCCAACCCCCCCTTTGCAGCCAGAACGTCCCAGGTTGCTAAGAGCTCTTAGAAACCTGTGATGATCTGGCTGGCGTCCTGCTCAGCTCACTGACATCACTGGTTGCCAGGGCCGCCTAATGAGCTGGGTGGGACGCCGGACAGAGGTGCTGTGTGTGCCCTTCCACAACCCCCCTGGACTCGCACCGCCAGCACCCCCGCCTGTACCTTCACCACCAGCACCGGCTGAATCCCAAACCCCCTGGTGCTGCACCGCCAGCACACAAACACACATACAATCCCACCCTGCCCAACTTAGGTGGTGAGAATTGTAGGGATGCCAATGCCAGTAGATCTGGTGTTTTTCCACTTCCTTTAACAGGCCATGCTGTCCAGCCAAAATTCCAGTTATAGGGACTAGGACAAACAAGGGGTGCTTGGATGGTCGGCTTTATTCATGTGCTTTTAATATTTTTACCAAATTGAAAACAAAGTCCATTTAAAAAGGAATTGCCCTCTAAGCCTACCCTGCACACAGGATAACAACGTTGCTGCGCAATTTCATTGAAGTACAAATAGTGTTGTCCCCCTATTACAGGAAGTGGAAAAATAATGGATCTACTGGCAGGATCAACAGATAAAACTATGTTACGGGACAGGCAGGGAACATGTTAGGTAGGAGGGACAACCAGCAGGAATGACACTGTCTAGCTTAGTTTCTGCCCCCAAGAAACTGCATGTTAGTGAAGCCCCATATATTAAATGGTGAGCCCATGCAAAACCAATACAGTCATGTAAAAAAAGTAAGAATACCCTAACTCTGTCAACATATCTGAACAGGCAAATATTAGTTCTCAATTCAAATAGTGTCCATAGATAAGGGTGACATCATAGAACAAGTGACACATACAACTGACACAATGGGAATGCAGGAAGTTGTTGGAAGTGATGGGCAGATGGAAGGCAGCACTCAATACATAGAAGGGATTTTTTCCTGTAAGCTTTGATTGTATTATCAGACACAACTCTACTATGTATTCCTATTACAATGCTGATGTCATAAACAGGAGAGGAGATGCTTTATCTTTAAGGGTTTATCTCTAAAATAACAATTTTATAGAAATAACCTAAAAACAAATGTTAAAAGTGACCAAAACCCATTGCAATCTAACTTCTCCTGCCTAATTGCAGCCTTCAGTCATCACCGTCATCATCTTTGTTTTCTGCAAATTAGCTCAAGGCGGCTTTGGTTAATATCCCGCCGATATTAATAATAAATGCAAGGTGCTAATAAATTAGGAATCCTGTAATTAAATCAGAATATTGCCATTCATATTTCAAGAGGAAAGGGTAAAGAAGTCAAGCTCATTTTCCACATGCTGCAAACTGCAATCATCTCCAGCAGCAGACAGGCCGCCTGGATGAAGTTTTGTATTTTTAGGGGCTTATTCACTTAGTCACCGAAGGCAGCAGAGTGAATAACCGAGCCTAAGTGAAGTGAGCCGAACGCTGTTCAGCTATTCACTCCCAGCCTTGCACGGATGATTTCACCCGTACATCGGCTAAAATCAGCCATACATCTGCTGCCTTCGGACATGTTTGGCTGAGCTGAAGTGCAGAAGGAGTTCGACTCAGCCGATCCAACGTCTGGATCGGCTGAGACGAAGCTCCGGCAGCTCACTCGCTGCCATTTGCTCCTATTCTCATAGGGGCCGGACGTCAGAGAGTGAATAGCCGAATGCCGCCGATCGACATTTGGCTCGGCTATTCTGCTCGGTACCTCCGAGGTAGCGAGCAGAAAAAAAAAGTAAGTCAAATGGAAAAAAAATTTGAAAATTTAAGAAATAGGAAGATTTAAAATAAAATATTTTTTTTAAAAACAAAATAAAAGAATAATTTTTAAAAAAATGACGTACGCCGACCCCAACAGCACGCAACGAACTCCCGCCGCATAATGAAGCATCTGACAGATGCCGGCAAAATAAAAACAATTGGGCAGGGCTAGCGGTGAAAGCTAGCTCTGCCCAACTGTTTCCTATTGGTCGCCACCTGCCAGAGTCTTCTAGCAGGTCCCCGCCAATGAAAAACAACTGGGCGGAGACGGCCGTGACATCATGGCCCGGCTCCACCCAGTTGTTATTGTTTAATGACAGATCAGCATCTCGGGTCATTTGGGGACGCTGATCTTTCATTACAACTGGGAGGAGCCAGCCATGAGATCACGGCTGGCTCCGGCCAGCTGTCATTTGCATGGAGATCGGTGGGCTTCGGCCGACCTTTCTCCTCGCTTTGCCTGTCACTATGGCTCAGTCGAGACGAAGCATATGCCTTCAGCTCGACTGCCTTTGGCTCGACTGCCTTTGGCTCAACTGCCTTCAGCTGCTGTATGGCCTATAGTACATAGCCCGTACAGCAGCCCTTCAGTTCGACTGAACCGAAGGGCTCCGGCGGCCGAAATGAGCCGAAGGATCAGCCCAAGCTACGTCTGGATCCTTCGGCACATTCGTGAATAACCCTCTCAGTGAATATATCTTTTGTCACTCTAGGACAGGAAGTGTGTTACTGGCAGGATCCCCGGGTGATAAGATAGGATAAAAAAAAAGCAGCGAAAAAGAAAACGAATGCAGCCGTCACATCTAAGGACTGGGAATCTGGAATATGAGCAGGCTCTTAGTTTTAAATCAACACTTGGCCTTTAAATAAGATAAAAGTCCTCGGAGTGAAAAGTAACAAAATAATTACCACTGAAAAAAAAAAACATATTCGAACTTGTGTGTTAAATGTTAAGATTCTGACTTTCTAACCGGCACACTGACTAGAACAAAGAGAAAAAACCACAACCATTGTCCCCAGGCTGATGTATTATAGATTAAAGCAAGGCTTGTTCTTCGGGTCTCACTTATCCAGGTGTCAAGTCAATTAATAATTTTTTCGGTCTGGGAAATGAGTTTCTGTAAAAGTCTAACCGAGCCGCAAAACGAAATAAATTCTCCAAGCTCCAATCAATAAAACATTAAACATCTGCTTCGCCGGCAATTCACCAACTTAGAGCAGGCTGGGGGATGTCATTTGTGGTCGTGCGCTTTACGCGCAGTGATGGGAGCTCTTTTGGGCGCCAGACGCCAGTGGTGGTTTGGATAAAGAAAAGTTAATAAGAGAGAACACAAAGTATCGGTAAAGTCACAACAAGCTAACTTTATCATTTCAGCCCTTACACTTACACATCAATCAGGTTGTGCAGTTTGCCATACCGAAAAAACAAGAGGAAATGTTTTTTCTCTCATTTATTGGTGATCATGTGACCACTTGGTCACCTCTTAGCTCTGAGGGTGGCTGGTAAATATTCTTGGTAGTTTCCACTGGTGAGAGGAGCTCTTTCGCTCCAGGGAGGCCTGTGCAGTTTCTTCAGGCTGCAGGAGGGGGACATCCCTTGAAACGTCCTGCTTACAGCAGTTTGACTGGCAGCAGTAATCAGCATGGCGTCCTGTAGCCCCTTCTAGCATGCTGCAGATGAGGACCCTTGATCTGGAGGTAGCAGTCTCTCTGCAGAGGTCCAACATGCTTCCTGCTAAGTCAGGCATATAGCTCTGTATTGCTGATTGAAGAGCTCTGACTCAGCAGAGGGCATGTGGGACTTCTGCAGGGAGACCACTGCTTCCACACAGAAAGCAAGAGAGCAAGGATACATCAGTGTGAAACTGGTTGGCTGCAGAACAGATTTAACCAGGAATAATGGGCATTACTAGGGCCAAAGCTAGGGGGGGCATGTGCCCTGGGTGCCACTTTAGGAGCGGCGCCACTGGGTGTGTGGATAGAGAACTTCTTTGAGCCTTTGCCCAGGGTGATAGAATGTCTAGCTTACCCACTTGGCCTTACCGTTTGCCCAACTTTTTATTTTTGCTATGGGTATGAGAAGTGCAGTGAATATACTGCATGTGTGATATAATGTGAGGTTGCTCTTAATTTGTTTTTTCTTTCAAATGCTGCAGCGGTGTGCGGCGCACAAAAGCACCTCCAAAAACAAAGGGGTCAGTAACAAGTGAATGCTGCACTTTGAATACCGCTACTTAAATAAAGGCCCTAGCAACATAAAAAAAAAAAAACACTCCTGAAATAAAAGTCCATTTGGATATGGATGAGGTAGCAGTGAAAAGTAACCGCTGACCTCAAATCAAACAAATAAAATTAAGCCAAAGAAAGTTAAATTTTAACAAATAGTAAGAATATAAAAAGCAGCAAAGTGGTTGGTTGACCAAAGAGCAAGCTATCACAAATTAAGTCCATTTACCTAACTGACCCTCATCTCACCCTATGATGTTTGTCATCTCTCCCTATCCTTCCCCTACAGCAGATTCCAATCCAATGACATTGGCTCCTTTGTGCCCTCCCCCCCCCCATTTTATCCAAAAGCCCCCCTATTGGCCCTTCTAAGACTGCTGGCCATTGTTCAAAGACCATGTAATGCATTATGGGTTAAAAATAACTAACCGGGGCAAACTGCACAAAGATTTGCCAGAAACCCGAATCTTGAACCTGCAGGATTCGCCTTGAGCCCATGGTAGCAGCAAACCTGAACCGAATCCCTAGCAAGACATGTAAAGGACCGCTTTACGAGATGACTTGAGCAGATCCTGTGATCCGTGCTTAACCCCGGCTTGTTACCAACCAGGCTGACCGGGCGTGAATCCCAGTTCCAGCACCTCAATCTTTTCTCACTATTCACATGAAATGTTGGTATTCCAAAAGCTTTAATGAAGAAGCAGATTCCCGATGTTTAGTTACTGAGGGTTGTATAGTTTTATTGATGCGCTTACCTCTCCATTCAGAAAGCAGTAAAATACTGAGACGAAGAACCCCTGAAAAAGAACCAACACAAAACAATGATTTCTACTGGAAAATGTCAGTCATTTCTAGTAAGCATAAAAGGCAGACAAGAAAATGTACAGAGAGATGACAACATTTCACCCTACATAAGAACCACTTCAGCTCTCACCCCTGTACACGCCCCATGGATCAATCTTTACATTTCTGCTACTTAGCCTGTTTATTTGGCAATATCCTTGTCATTAATTAGTATAGCACTATATACACACTGTGTTGTACATTCCATACTCCTGACACCTGCACTATACACACTGTGTTGTACATTCCATACTCCTGACCCCCGCACTATATACACCGTGCTGTATATTCCATACTCCTGACCCCTGCACTATATACACCGTGTTGTACATTCCATACTCCTGACCTTTGCACTATATACACAGTGTTGTACATTCCATACTCCTGACCCCTGCACTATACACACTGTGTTGTACATTTCATACTCCTGACCCCTGCACTATATACACTGTGTTGTACATTTCATACTCCTGACCCCTGCACTATAGAGACTGTGTTGTACATTCCATACTCCTGACCCCTGCATTGTATACATTGTGTTGTACATTTCATCCTCCTGGCCCATGCACTATATACACTATGTTGTACATTTCATCCTCCTGGCCCATGCACTATATACACTATGTTGTACATTTCATCCTCCTGGCCCATGCACTATATACACTATGTTGTACATTTCATCCTCCTGGCCCATGCACTATATACACTATGTTGTACATTTCATCCTCCTGGCCCATGCACTATATACACTATGTTGTACATTTCATCCTCCTGGCCCATGCACTATATACACTATGTTGTACATTTCATCCTCCTGGCCCATGCACTATATACACTATGTTGTACATTTCATCCTCCTGGCCCATGCACTATATACACTATGTTGTACATTTCATCCTCCTGGCCCATGCACTATATACACTATGTTGTACATTTCATCCTCCTGGCCCATGCACTATATACACTATGTTGTACATTTCATCCTCCTGGCCCATGCACTATATACACTATGTTGTACATTTCATCCTCCTGGCCCATGCACTATATACACTATGTTGTACATTTCATCCTCCTGGCCCATGCACTATATACACTATGTTGTACATTTCATCCTCCTGGCCCATGCACTATATACACTATGTTGTACATTTCATCCTCCTGGCCCATGCACTATATACACTATGTTGTACATTTCATCCTCCTGGCCCATGCACTATATACACTATGTTGTACATTTCATCCTCCTGGCCCATGCACTATATACACTATGTTGTACATTTCATCCTCCTGGCCCATGCACTATATACACTATGTTGTACATTTCATCCTCCTGGCCCATGCACTATATACACTATGTTGTACATTTCATCCTCCTGGCCCATGCACTATATACACTATGTTGTACATTTCATCCTCCTGGCCCATGCACTATATACACTATGTTGTACATTTCATCCTCCTGGCCCATGCACTATATACACTATGTTGTACATTTCATCCTCCTGGCCCATGCACTATATACACTATGTTGTACATTTCATCCTCCTGGCCCATGCACTATATACACTATGTTGTACATTTCATCCTCCTGGCCCATGCACTATATACACTATGTTGTACATTTCATCCTCCTGGCCCATGCACTATATACACTATGTTGTACATTTCATCCTCCTGGCCCATGCACTATATACACTATGTTGTACATTTCATCCTCCTGGCCCATGCACTATATACACTATGTTGTACATTTCATCCTCCTGGCCCATGCACTATATACACTATGTTGTACATTTCATCCTCCTGGCCCATGCACTATATACACTATGTTGTACATTTCATCCTCCTGGCCCATGCACTATATACACTATGTTGTACATTTCATCCTCCTGGCCCATGCACTATATACACTATGTTGTACATTTCATCCTCCTGGCCCATGCACTATATACACTATGTTGTACATTTCATCCTCCTGGCCCATGCACTATATACACTATGTTGTACATTTCATCCTCCTGGCCCATGCACTATATACACTATGTTGTACATTTCATCCTCCTGGCCCATGCACTATATACACTATGTTGTACATTTCATCCTCCTGGCCCATGCACTATATACACTATGTTGTACATTTCATCCTCCTGGCCCATGCACTATATACACTATGTTGTACATTTCATCCTCCTGGCCCATGCACTATATACACTATGTTGTACATTTCATCCTCCTGGCCCATGCACTATATACACTATGTTGTACATTTCATCCTCCTGGCCCATGCACTATATACACTATGTTGTACATTTCATCCTCCTGGCCCATGCACTATATACACTATGTTGTACATTTCATCCTCCTGGCCCATGCACTATATACACTATGTTGTACATTTCATCCTCCTGGCCCATGCACTATATACACTATGTTGTACATTTCATCCTCCTGGCCCATGCACTATATACACTGTATTGTACATTCCATACTCCTGACCCCTGCACTATATACACCGTATTGTACATTTCATGTTCCTGACCCCTGCATTGTATACACCGTGTTGTACATTTCATACTCCTGACCCCTGCACTATATACACTGTATTGTACATTACATACTCCTCACCCCTGCACTATATACACACTGTGTTGTACATTTCATACTCCTTGCCCATGCACTATATACACTGAGTTGTATATTTCATACTCCTGACCCTGCACTATATATACACTGTATTGTATATAACATACTCTTGACCCCAGCACTATATATACACTGTATTGTATATTTCATACTCCTGACCCCTGCACTATATACACTGTGTTGTATATTTCATACTCCTGACCCCTGCGCTATATACACTGTATTGTATATTTCATACTCCTGACCCCTGCACTATATACACTGTGTTGTATATTTCATACTCCTGACCCCTGCGCTATATACACTGTGTTGTATATTTCATACCCCTGGCCCATGCACTATATACACTGAGTTGTATATTTCATACTCCTGACCCCTGCACTATATATACACTGTAAAAAGATAATCTGTGCTTCTGGAGAGAGGTAGTAAAGAAGGAATAAATAAATAAATAATTGAAAAATTAGTGAATAAATCTATTAAACCCAGAGCAGCTCTGAAATGGGAATTAGAAAATCCCTACGGTAATCAATGAAAAAATATATATACACTGTATTGTACATTTCATACTCCTGACCCCTGCACTATATACACTGAGTTGTATATTTCATACTCCTGACCCCTGCACTATATACACTGAGTTGTATATTTCATACTCCTGACCCTGCACTATATATACACTGTATTGTATATAACATACTCTTGACCCCAGCACTATATATACACTGTATTGTATATTTCATACTCCTGACCCCTGCGCTATATACACTGTGTTGTACATTTCATACTCCTGGCCCATGCACTATATACACTGAGTTGTATATTTCATACTCCTGACCCCTGCGCTATATACACTGTATTGTTCCATTCTTGGTGATGGATGCCAGCAGAGAGAAGAGGGGACGGTTTTCAGATGGGGTAACACCAAAATGACTGTCAGTCATTTTGGTGTCACCCCTTCAATGTTGCCACCTGGGTGTGGGCCGCACCCCCCCCCCTCCCAGTGACCCAACTGATATTTCATACTCCTGACCCTTGCGCCATATACACTGAGCTGTATATTTCATACTCCTGGCCCATGTACTACATACATTGTGTTGTACATTTCATACTCCTGACCCCTGCACTATATACACTTTGTTGTACATTTCATACTCCTGACCCCTGCACTATACACACTGTGTTGTACATTCCATACTCCTGACCCCTGCACTATATACACTGTGTTGTACATTTCATACTCCTGGCCCCTGCACTATACACACTGTGTTGTACATTCCATACTCCTGACCCCTGCACTATATACACACTGTGTTGTACATTCCATACTCCTGGCCCCTGCACTATACACACTGTGTTGTACATTCCATACTCCTGACCCCTGCACTATACACACTGTGTTGTACATTCCATACTCCTGACCCCTGCACTACATACACTGAGTTGTACATTTCATACTCCTGGCCCATGCACTATATACACTGTGTTGTACATTCCATACTCCTGACCCCTGCACTTTAATGTATACTGTCATTCATCTCTACGATGTAAATGTAGGTCCCAGCATTAAGTTTTCTTTACCTGAAAAGACTGAAGAAAAGAATTGAAATAAATGAAGACAATCTGAGAGACGTCGTCCTCTCCCGGGTTCACAAAGAAAAGCATGTACGTTATCCCAAGCAAGGGGAGGAGGACTAGAGTGGCTTTCACTGCTTTCCTGCAAGACACAAACGTTGTTATAAGCTTTGATTGATTAAAATAAATCAATGTATTATCTGTCACAGAGATCACAGTACTCCCCCTGATAAATGCCAGAAGTACAGCACCATCATTGTTCAGGTATCGTCCAGGGTCACCATCAACTTCCTTAACTGAGATGCCGGCTCAGAGATGGCACAATAATGTTCAACTACAAATGTCTGACACAGATCAGCCCCTCCTCCAGCCTCTCACCTTTGTGACTTGTTACAAAGTTGCAATTTGATCAATGGGGGAGGAGGGGAGACTGAGGAAATGCTTCCTCCTGCCTGCAGCAGATTGATGGCTCCCAGGCAAAGTCAATGGACTGCAGCAAAATACTGATTTGTTCTTTTAAATTATAGTTTTGCTGCACATTGTGACATCGGGAATTTATTTATGCATTCTTGTAAAGTTACTGAGAGGTCAAATTTGAGATATGACATGATACACATACAAGTACATACATATATGAAAGGAGAACTATGAGGTGAGAGAAAATCACTCATCCTCATAGTTCGATCCGACGTGTGACAATGAGACACACGTCGGCTCAATAGATCGGGAAGTGAACGAACACATACCGTCGCTCGCTCACTTCTCGATCATCTCCCTGCAGAGAGCCTTAACTGTCACTCACGGCTCCCTGCAGGGATTCCCCCCCCTCCCCTCTCCGATCCTCCAGCGCTGACTGGAGGAACGGATGGGGGAGGGGGCGGGCACAGCTGGCTCTACCTCTAGATTGGGAGAGCCAGCTGTCAATCATGCAGCTGGGTGGATCTCGACAGTAATGTCAGGATCCGTCCCGGCTGCAGCTGTCTCAGTATACGGCAAGCTGTAGCTCGCCGTATACTGAGCTTTGGGTCACGTGAGGACGCTAGTTTATGTCCTCCCGTTACCCTAAGGAGATCTATGGGGAAAAACACTTACCTCATAGTTCTTTTTTAATACTTGGCTCATTTTGGAGACTTTAGTACTTCTATTATTGTGGGAACTTTAGCACTTGCGTCATTGTGGGGACATTTATATTTGTATCATTGCAGACACATTAGGACTTGTATCATTGCGCGGGCATTAGTAATGGAGACATTGTGTGTTCATTGTGGGGTCATTAGGACCTGTGACATTGGATATTAGTGCTTGTGTCATTGAGTTGACATTGCAGGGACATTAGTAACTGTGAAGTCCCAGGTGGCTGCTGAAGTAAAGGGCATTGCAGCATAAAGGTCTTGCAATGAAGACACGTACCTGTACTGTATTGTCTCTGAGGTGGTGGACGCTCGTAATTTCGTCATTAATATTCTCACTATGTTGAATAAGAAAACAAAATTGATCTGTAAAAGAAACAAATATTTACTCAGATTAATCCTGAAGGTGTTTTAGTATCGCAGCATTCAGTCAATGTCAGGTACAACGTGAGGGTAAAAAACCCCAGAGGCTTACACATGGAGGTAATACAATGATATTTCATCCTCTATCTATAGGCGGGCGCACTTGTTTTTGTCTGAATTCACATTAGGATGGAAATCGGCAATTTCCGAATCCTGCCTCCGAATTTTCTAATGGCAAAAATATGACTTTGAACATATTTTATTTATCGCCTTTTTTTGCCATGGCAATAACATTCGGACAAAATTCAGATGCATCCGAATTTTGTGCAAATGTCTATCCGAATGAACTGATATGTTGTTGAACATGAAAATGATTTAATAAAAGAAAAGCTTGGGGTACCCCACCCCAAATTCATAACAGACTCGTTAGGTCTGGTAGGAATTTTAGGGAAGACCCCATGCCAAAAAACAAAAAAAAGGCATACCCCATGCCTTTTTTTTGTTTTTTGGCATGGGGTCTTCCCTAAAATTCCTACCAGACCTCCCCAAACCCTCCTTACCAGACCCTTGATCCAAGCAGCGGCCTGCCAGAGAAAGGGCGGGGCATCATGCACCCTTTCCCCCTCCTGTACCATACCAGGACATAGTTACATAGTTACATAGTTACATAGTATTTGAGGTTGAATAAAGACATTAGTCCAACCTGCCTCACATCAGCCGACCATTCACACTATCGTTACATGGATGGCAAAAGTGGCAGATGGGCAAGGAGAAGGCGGGGGGGAAGAGGCAGAGCGGGAGGGAGGCCAAGTTGCTGCACCATGGGCCTCCAAGTTGTACTTGCCCCCTGGGCTAAAAGTTGCCAGTCAGCCCCTGTTGGGGACCCTACCTCATGTTGAGGAGGCTTATATGAATCTGGGTTCCCCCTTTAAAGAAAGGGACACCCAGGTGCTGCTTTCCCCCATGAATGAGTAAGAGGTAGTTGTTCATGCACATGTCTACTATCTAATATCTATCTAGTATCTATCTGGTATTTATCTAGTATCTATCTAGTATCTATCAAGTATCTATCTAGCATCTGGTATCTATCTAGTATCTGTCTAGTATCTAATATCTATCTATTATCTATCTAGTATCTATCTAGCATCTAGTATCTATCTAGCATCTAATATCTATCTAGTATCTATTATCTATCTAGTATCTATTATCTATCTAGTATCTATCTAGTATCTATCTGGTATGTATCCAGTTTCTATCTAGTATCTATTACGGTATCTATCTAGTATCTATCTATTATATATCTAGTATCTAATATCTATATTGTATCTATTATTCTATCTAGTATCTATCTATTATCTATTTAGTATCTATCTATCTATCTATCTATCTATCTATCTATCTATCTATCTATCTATCTATCTATCATCTATCTATCTCTTTCTATTATATATCTATCTGACATTTACATTTATTTTTAACAACTTACAACCAAAACTCTGCAAATACCTAATAAAACAATAATGTGAACACAATAAATAAGATGTACTGGTGTCTTTTCTGATGCTGCCTCACACAGGGACCTCGTATTCCTGTAATTTATTCCCTCATTTCCCGTTGACATGTCTCAGTGTCTGTACTGTAATAAATCCGTCTCTGGTCCCGATGACACTATTTCATGCCGTGTTATTAGGCAGGACGGTGAGCTTTACTCAGTTGTGTTCAGGGGACTCTTCTATAGACTCTTCTAAAGACTCTTCCTCGTGTCAAGCAGCCCTGCCCGTCCCCTCGTATCGTTCTCTCCTCCTCAAGGACGCGCATGAAACTTCATTTAATTTAATGTTGGGGAAAATAAGCTCCATCAATAAAAGTGACTGTAAGAAACATTCCCCTATTTACAGCGAGACGTTCGCTGCAGGACTTATTAATCTTATATAAACGGCTCTAGGTCACCACCATCTGCCTGCTGAATGGAAAAGAGTCCTCGCTGACCGAATCAAAAATGTTTTGCGATCTATCAGCAATGCGGAATCAGAAATAAATCTTGCAGGGAGAGGGCTGTGTGAACCGAGACGATCTGTACTTGGCCTTGACCAGGTCCACCATGGCATTTGCCAAAAGGAGGTCAGACACAGACAGATACAGACAGACCTCTATCTATATAGCGGAAGTTTAAATTGCACGTGCAGCTGAATGAGTAAGAGGATAGACATCCCCGCCCCCCTCCTTTCTACTCTGCCTCTATGTCTTTGTATTGATTTTCGGTTATACTGAAAATAAGAAGTTAGTGCTGGGCTTTATTAGAAATCCTAGAATGGTCTGCAAATGAGTGGCATGGGAGCACCTTGCATTAAAAGGTTTTTGTCTTTCGTTTAAATAAAAAGATGTAATATGAATATTGTATAAATACATAAAAAATATGTTTATGGCTAACTTTAAAAAAACAAAACAAAATTGAGCAATTGAGGTTCTCTTTAATCCCTCCCACAAATCAATGAACAGCATTTGATTGACAGAACACACGTAGCTTAGACAAAAGTAAAATCACAAGTGTTACTTACAAGGAGTACCAGGATGACGGGTCCTTGGTAGATGTAATCGATGTATTTTCCTGGCTCTTTCCCGATCCAGCACCTAGCAATAAAAATTGAATGTCACAAACTTATAGACATGTTATAAATGGTATAAAGGTTTGTATCGTGCTGTGTGGCTACTTGAAGTGTAAGTCATACTCACCATTCCTGGGATCCAGCACTGGGTCTCCCCTCCGGCATGCACTTCTGGGTTTCTCCTGGAGTCTTAGTGTCATGACCCAATAGCTTACAGGTCTTGGGCGGCTAGGTGACCCGTCGTTTGGCGTTAGAGCAAAATTGTTGCCATGCCTAAGCTGAGCGTCCACATATCTGCTTCCTGTGTTCCCCTTGCTTCCAGTGATGGTGACCTGCAATACTGTGCTTCCAGCGAACCCTGGACTTCAAAGTCTCCAATGACTTCATCATCTCAAGTGACCCTCCGTTCCCATGTCTCCAGTGACACCAGATTCTCTAGTGATCCCTGTGTGTCCTAGTGACTCTGGTTTCTCCAGTGTCTCCATTGACCCCTGTGCTCTTGTGTCCCAGTAACTCCTGTTTTGGCAGGGACTCCTGTGTCTCTAGTGACCACAGCAACTCCAGTGTCCCCTCAGATTTTGTGTCTCCAGTGACTCTTGTGTCTCCTGGACTTCTGTGTCTCTAGTGATCAAAGCATCTCCAGTGACCCCTTAGATTTTGTGTCTCCAGTGACTCTTGTGTCTCCTAAACTTCTGTGTCCCTAGTGACTAAAGAATCTCCAGTGACCCCTCAGCCTTTGTGTCTCCAGTGACTCCTTCCTGTGTCTCTAGTGACCACAGCATCTCTAGTGACCCCTCAGCCTTTGTGTCTCCAGTGACTTCTGTCTCTCTAGTGACCACAACAACTCCAGTGTCCCCTCAGATTTTGTGTCTCCAGTGACTCTTGTGTCTCCTGGACTTATGTGTCTCTAGTGATCAAAGCATCTCCAGTGACCCCTTAGCTTTTGTGTCTCCTGAACTTCTGTGTCCCTAGTGACTAAAGAATCTCCAGTGACCCCTCAGCCTTTGTGTCTCCAGTGACTCCTTCCTGTGTCTCTAGTGACCACAGCATCTCGAGTGTCCCCTCAGCTTTTGTGTCTCCAGTGACTTCTTTGTCTCTAGTGACCACAGCATCTCCAGTGACCCCTCAGCCTTTGTGTCTCCTGTGTCTCCAGTGACTCCTGTGTCTCTAGTGACCACAGCATCTCCAGTGACCCCTCGGCTTTTGTGTCAATAGTAACTTCTGTGTCTCTAGAGACCACAGCATCTCCAGTGACCCCTCAGCTTTTGTGTCACCAGTAACTTCTGTGTCTCTAGTGACCACAGCATCTCCAGTGTCCCCTTAGCTTTTGTGTCTCCTGTGTCTCTAGTGACCACAGCATCTCCAGTGACCCCTCGGCGTTTGTGTCAATAGTAACTTCTGTGTCTCTAGTGACCACAGCATCTCCAGTGACCCCTCGGCGTTTGTGTCAATAGTAACTTCTGTGTCTCTAGTGACCACAGCATCTCCAGTGACCCCTCGGCGTTTGTGTCAATAGTAACTTCTGTGTCTCTAGTGACCACAGCATCTCCAGTGACCCCTCGGCGTTTGTGTCAATAGTAACTTCTGTGTCTCTAGTGACCACAGCATCTCCAGTGACCCCTCGGCGTTTGTGTCAATAGTAACTTCTGTGTCTCTAGTGACCACAGCATCTCCAGTGACCCCTCGGCGTTTGTGTCAATAGTAACTTCTGTGTCTCTAGTGACCACAGCATCTCCAGTGACCCCTCAGCCTTTGTGTCTCCAGTGACCTCTTTGTCTCTAGTGACCACAGTATATCCAGTGACTCCTGTGTCTCTAGTCACCACAGCATCTCCAGTGACCCCTCGGCGTTTGTGTCAATAGTAACTTCTGTGTCTCTAGTGACCACAGCATCTCCAGTGACCCCTCAGCTTTTGTGTCACCAGTATCTTCTGTGTCTCCAGTGACTCCTGTGCTCCTGTGACTCCATCCTGTGATTCTGGTGTGTCCTAAACACCCTTGTGACACTCATAACTCCATGCAGCCTCAGATACACTCCTGTGCTTCCTGAACTGGACTCCTGTCCATGAGAGTGTATCTAAGGGCAAAACTTGTTTTTTTTAGTAAAACCTCTGTCGGGAATGTTTTTGCCACCTGTGGTTCACTGGGAAGATTTCCCTTTGCTTATGATGACAACCCAGAATTTTGGATTCTTTTCTGACCTTCGATCTGGGTGACAATGTCCACCAAGACAAACAGAGATGGTGACTCTCCCAAGCAGAGACAGAAATGTCAATGACTTTACTGAAACCAGGAGAGCTGACGGTGCTGTCTGGAAGGAGTTTCTGGATCACAGGACGGGTCTAACAGAACTGAAAGTTCTTTTGGCAGATAAACACTTCACGGATATGTATTTCCAAATGTGTATCTTCAGTTTTAAACCACTTACTGTTCGTTTTCATTGCACAGCTTTCCGATGGCCCAGGCGATTATGATTGGGCATGGAATACCTGCACGAAAACACAAACACGGACAAAATCATTGAGGTGAACCTTTCAGTAACTTCACTAGTCTGCATGAATACAAAAACAACAGCAACAGTATCATTTCTATAAAAGATCCACCTTTCATTACAAAGCCATCCTTGAGATCCAGTCTGATGATTTTGCCTAAGCAGAGATGATGTCATCAGTCTGCTGCCAGGCAGGAGGAAGCATTTCTTCAGTCTCCCCTCCCCCAGTGATCAGTCTGCTGCAGGCAGGAGGAAGCATTTCTTCAGTCTCCCCTCCCCCAGTGATTAGTCTGCTGTAGGGAGGAGGAAGCATTTCCTCAATCTTCCCTCCCCCAGTGATTAGTCTGCTGTAGGGAGGAGGAAGCATTTCCTCAGTCTCCCCTCCCCCAGTGATCAGTCTGCTGCAGACAGGAGGAAGCATTTCCTCAGTCTCCCCTCCCCCTGTGATTAGACTGCAACAGCAAGGTGAGAAGCTGCAACACCAGCTGCTGCACAGACACTAGGATTTACATGACTCTGAGCCAGCATGTCGGTCCAGGAAGTAGATGGTGACCCTGGATGATGCCTGAACGTCCTTCCCGAGAACAAAGCAGATGAAGGCATTTTCAGTGCGTATAACGTCCTTCGCATGCTGCACTTACCATGCAAAATATATCTGCTGCTCTGACTGCTTTAATGTTTAAACTGCAAGTGAATGAAGGAAGCCGAGCGGTTTTCCCAAATTCTTTCATTTATTTTAAATGTTTCCAAAAAAAGGTATGAAGTGAAGATTTATTTGTGACTCTCGGTTCTCCAGACATGCTCGTTCCTTTCCCTCCCTGAACCCCATGGCTAATTAGAGGTAATTATCTGCCCTTTATACTGATTTATGGCTTCTGCGGCGCTACATAATAACCTGATAGGACTTGACACAGATCCAGAACATGTGCGGGCTGTATGTGCTGAGTCCGTGCCGCTCTGTCACTGTGTCAAATATTTATCGTGGGCATTAGAAGATCAGCAAATTCAATATACCGGTGATCTATATTAAAAGTGTAACTGGGGGGGAGATATCTATGCTCCAGCTCTGCCCCCTGATTCCTCCTCGGTCCATTACTCGTCTACAGGAAGAACAAAACATGCATCATTCTGCCCCTTTCCTGTGAGCCCAGCCTGTTATTTACATCCCCCACCACCAGGGGGCGCCTCATCATTCAGGCTGGGCTCACAGCAGAGCACCCGACTGTCCCACATTTAGAAGGACTGTCCATGATTTGGGAACCAAATCCCTCTGTCCCTCTTTCTTCCTCAGTTGTCCCTCTTTATGGTCTGATGTACAGATCTCTATAAACAATGTATCATTTAAAGAACATGCTCACGTCTAATGCAGGTAAATGGACCTGTATTAGACTTGATGACATCAGCGGTCCTACCGGGAAAGGGGGGGAGCACGGGTGTTGCACCGTACCTCCGACGTGGCTTTGGCTCTGTCCAGCGTCCGAGCCAGCTCACTTACGTCAGGAGCTGACTGGGAGTCCAGCCAGAGTGACCCACTCAGCTCCTGGCAAACCAGTGACGTCAGTGAGCTGGCTGGGACGCCGGACAGAGCTTCAAAGGTTGGTAGTAGCTCTAAGGAACCTGGGACGCTCTGGCCGTGTGCCCCCCACGTGACCCAATGATATGACGTCTCATTATAGGGACGGCCCTGACTGAACCTGTTATCGGACCTTTAAATTATAATTTTTTTATTTCAAAAGTTAAAATAATTGAAGATTAGTGACAAAAAAACAACAATTTTTTACTTAACCCAATCATTTCCTGCGCATTGATCCACAAGGTCCTCAGGGGGCGTGTCCTTTGCCTACTCACTCCATGCTATATTGTGTCCCTCTTTCCCATCTCAGAAATTTGGGAGGTATGCTCGCAGTACTCCAGGACTGAGCGGCGCTCACACATGAATCAGAGGCCGTCGTAATGAGTCAGAGGCCAATTTACAGCAAATTGCACACGGCGTCCCGCCCAGCTCCTAGTGACCAGTGATGTCATTGGTTGCCAGCAACTGGATGGGATGCCGGCCAGAGCGTCCCTGGTTGCTATGAGCCGGGCAGGGAGATGTGTATGGGAGAGGGATGGGGAGAAAAAAAAGTCAGATGTCTCTGTGGGTTGCCCAACTTTTTCTGACCCATGAAGTGGGTCCCCCCCCCCTAAGTTGTGCCCAGGGCATGTGCCATATGTGTCATACCCCGGATAGGCCACTGGCTGGAATTGAAAGACATAAAACAGTGCATTTCCTGGCCCTATTCTGCTGCTATTTGAGATTTGCTCTAACATAGAGTCCTAAAAACCTTCTCAGAGAGGCCACATATTTGGGTTTAGACGTGATCTTGGCCAATGTTCTTTCTCATTTGGTAAATCTGCCTTTCAAATTAAATATCTTTGCATCGTGTACTGTACATTTCATGCCAAACTCATTTCCTTTCTCCGCTTCCAGAATGTCTTTTGATCAGACTGAAATGTAATGTTCGATTTGAAACATTCAAGTTTAATCTTTAGTCTGAAGTGTTGGGCAAACCTCCAACAAGGAGCATATTTCTAAGTCCTTCATCGTCATTACTGATGAGGGAATTGGTGTGGGTTTGGTTTGCCTGGGTGTTCCCAAAAACCAGCTAGGAATACAGGTCTGGTGACTGTCCAAGGGTACCAAACCCAGGGCCCCTGCAACCTGCACATCATCATTGGTTGCTTGCATGCTGGTGGCTGGGTTGCACATCATCATTGGTTGCTTGAATGCTGGTGGCTGGGTTGCACATCATCATTGGAATGCTGGTGGCTGGGTTGCACAGCATCATTGGTTGCTTGGATGCTGGTGGCTGGGTTGCACATCATCATTGGTTGCTTGAATGCTGGTGGCTGAGTTGCACAGCATCATTGGTTGCTTGAATGTTGGTGGCTGGGGTCCACATCATCATTGGTTGCTTGAATGCTGGTGGCTGGGTTGCACATCATCATTGGCTGCTTGAATGTTGGTGGCTGGGTTGCACAGCATCATTGGCTGCTTGAATGATGGTGGCTGGGTTGCACTGTATCATTGGTTGTTAGAATGCTGGTGGATGGGTTGCACAGCATCATTGGCTGCTTGAATGTTGGTGGCTGGGTTGCACAGCATCATTGGCTGCTTGGATGTTGGTGGCTGGGTTGCACAGCATCATTGGCTGCTTGAATGTTGGTGGCTGGGTTGCACAGCATCATTGGTTGCTTGAATGATGGTGGCTGGGTTGCACAGTATCATTGGTTGTTAGAATGCTGGTGGCTGGGTTGCACAGCATCATTGGTTGCTAGGATGCAGAGGGAGTTTTCAGTGGATGGGCAAGCTGTCCAAATTGTTCACCCATTCAATTAACCAGTTGACATCCGCGGTGTTAAACCCCCTTCCCATCCAGGCCATTTTTCAGTATTCAGCGCTGCGGTACTTTAACTGACATTTATTCCGTCATGCAGCACTGTACTGAAATGAATTTTATACCCTTTTTTGGGGACAGATAGAGCTTTCTTTTGGTGGTATTTATTCACCACTGGGGGTTTTATTTTTTTACTATATTAAGGAAAAATTACCGAAATTTAAAAAAAAAAAACAGTTTCCCCTATATTAAATGATAAAACATTTATTATTACCCAATTTTTTGGTAAAATATAAAAGATGGGGTCACGTCGGGTAAAAAGACACGAAACATGTCAAGCCTTAAAATTGCGTGCGTGCGCGAAACCTCAAAAAACGATAATACCCAAAATTGGCCCTAGGCGACGCTTTAAAAGCTGTTACCGCTCATCAGTTTAGTGTTATCAGTGATTGATGGCCCTAAAATGATTGCTCTCACTGCGACGTTCGCGGCGATATGTAACATGTGTAGCGCAATTGTAATTTTTGCGCGCTGGGGCACCGGACGCGTATTTACGTTTATAGGCGCGTAAACGTGGGGGTGGGGGAGTTAAACATTTTGGGGGGGTTTTTTCCCCTTTTTTTATATGTGACTTTTATTTTATTTTTTTATGTGTTACTTTTCTTTTTTTTTATTTTTTTATTTTTTTTTGCACTTATTGTTATTGCTATTATATAGGGGGATAACAACCCCCTATATAATAGCAAAGGCACACTGACAGGTCCTCTTTATGGAGATATTAGGGGTCTCTAGGACCCCTAATATCACCTATGGACCCCAAAAGAAGCTGAT